GTCCCCATAAAAGGAACATACCTCAGTATAATATAGGTAATATATAAGATAATATATTATTTAACATATATGCAGAGTACATCATGTGAAATTCCAGGACGGATAAAATACAAGCTGGAATCAAGATTGCGGGAGAAATATCAATAACCTCAGGTACTCAGATGACACCTCCCTTATGGTAGAAAGTGAAGAGGAATTAAAGATCCTCTTGATGAAGGTGAAAGAGAAGAGTGAAAAACCTAGCCTAAAATTCAACATTCAAAAACTGAAGTTCATGGCACCTGGTTCCATCACTTCATGGCAAATAAATAGGGAAATAATGCAAATTGTGACAGACTTTATTCTCTTGGGCTCCAAAATCACTGTGGACAGTGACTGCAGCCATGAAATTAAAAGATGCTTGCCCCTTGGAAGAAAAGCAATGATGAACCTAGACAGTGTGTTAAAAAGCAGAGACATTACTTTGCCAACAAAGGTCCATCTAGTCAAAGCTACAATTTTTCCAGTAGTCGTGTATGGATGTGAGAGCCAGACAATAAAAAGTCTGAGCGCCGAAGATTTGATACCTTTAAACTGTGATGCTGGAGAAGACTTTTGAAAGTCCCTTGGAGAGCAAGGAGATCAAACCAGTCAATCCTAAAGGAAATCAACCCTAAATATTCATTGGAAGGACTGGTGATGAAGCTGACGATCCAATACTTTGGCCACCTGATGCAAAAAACTGACTCACTGGAAAAGAGCCGAGGCTGGGAAAGACTGAGGGCAGGCAAAGGGGACGACAGAAGATGAGATGGTTGGATGGCATCCCTGACTCAATGGACATGAGTTTGAGCAAGCTCGGCAGTCGGTGATGGACAGGGAACTCTGGCGTGCTGCAGTCCATGGGGTCGCAAAGAGTTGGAAATGACTGAGTGACTGAACAGAACTGAATAAATTCAGTTGAAAGATAAAAAGTCAAAGGATAAAAAATAAGTATTCAGAAATCTGTTGTGTTTCTATACACTGAAAAGAAGCTAACAGTAAGACAAATTAATACAACGATCCCATTTATAATTGCATCAAAGGAATAAACTACCTAGCAATAAACTTAAGAAAGGAAGTAAAAGATCTGTATTTTACTTGGAGTATTGTAATGTACAATGAGAGAAATTGAAGATGACAGAAAAATATGGAAAGATATACCATGCTCATGGATTAGAAGAGTTAATACTGTTAAAATGATTATATTCATTTTAGTAGACTAACTAATATGAAGCACAAGCTGCCAGGAGAAATATCAATAACCTCAGATATGCAGATGGCACCACCCTTATGGCAGAAAGTGAAGAGGAACTAAAAAACCTCTTGATGAAAGTGAAAGAGGAGAGTGAAAAAGTTGGCTTAAAGCTCAACATTCAGAAAACTAAGATTATGGCATCTGGTCCTATCACTTCATGGCAAATAGATGGGGAAACAATGGAAACAGTGGCAGACTTTATTTTGGGGGGCTCCAAAATCACTGTAGATGGTGACTGTAGCCATGAAACTAAAAGACACTTGCTCCTTGGAAGAAAAGTTACAACCAACCTAGACAGCATATTAAAAAGCAGAGATATTACTTTGCCAACAAAGGTTCATCTAGTCAGAGCTATGGTTTTTCCAGTTAGAGTTGGACTATAAAAAAAGCTGAGCACCAAAGAATTGATGCTTTTGAACTGAGGTGTTGGAGAAGACTCTTGAGAGTCCCTTGGACTGCAAGGAGATTCAATCAGGCCATCCTAAAGGAAATCAGATCTGAATATTCATTGGAAGGACTGATGCTGAAGCTGAAACTCCAATACTTTGGCCAGCTGATGCAAATAATTGACTCATTTGAAAAGACCATGATGCTGGGAAAGATTGAAGGCAGGAGGAGAAGGGGACAACAGAGGATGAGATGGTTGGACGGCATCACTGACTCAATGGACATGAGTTTGAGTAAACTCTGGGAGTTGGTGTTGGACAGGGAGGCCTGGTGTGCTGCAGTCCATGGGGTTGAAAGGAGTTGGACACGACTGAGTGACTGAACTGAACCGAACTAATATAAAATGATTATATTCATTTAAAGACCCTTCAGTAGACTAACTGGATTAAGAACACACACACACACACACACACACACACAATGGACTGTAAGTCAGCCATAAAAACTGGGAAATCTTGTCATTAGTGACAACGTGGATTGGCCTATAGAATATTATGCTAAGTGAGACAAGTCAGACAGAAAAATAGAATATTGCATATCATTTGTGTTTGAAATTTAAATACAAAGCAAATGAAGAAACAAAAAAACAGAAACAGTCTCCAGTTCAGTTCAGTTCCATTCAGTCGCTCAGTCATGTCTGACTCTTTGCAACACCATGGACTGTAGCACTCCAGGCCCCCCGCCCATGAACAGTATGAAAAGACTCTAGTTACAAAAAACAAAAAAGTGTTTGCCCTGGGAAGGGGTGGAGGGAGAGATTAATTAAATGAGTGATATTAAGAAGTACAAATTTCTAGTTACAAAAGAAATGTTACAAGGATATAATGGGAAAATAGTCAATAAAGTGTAATAACCTTGTATGGTGATAAACTGTATCTAGACTTATCATGTTAATCACTTTGAAATGTATAGAAATAGCAAATCCCTATCTGATGCATCTGGACTAATTTAGTTTGTAGGTAAACTAGTCTTTAATTAAAAGTAAGAAGAGAGCTCTAAAATAATCCACCTAATGTTACAACTTAAAGAACTATTGAACAAAGACATACACACAAAACTAGCAGAAAGAAGTAAACAATAAAGACTAGAGCAGAAGAGAAATTAGTAGAGAATACCAAATGAATCCAAAAGTTGGTTTTCCAAAAGAGGAAGAAAACTGATACACCCTTAGCTAGATGGACTGAGACAAAAAGGAAGATCCAAATTACCTAAATCAGAAATGAAAATGGTGATATTTCCCTTAGTTCTACACAGTTAAAAAATATTATGAGACTTCTGTGAATAATTTTATGACAACAAATGGATAGCCTAGATATAAAAGACAGATTTGTGTAAACACAAACTCTACCAAGACTTCATTAAAAAATACAAAATCTGAATTGATTATGACTAGTGAGGAGATTGAATCAAAAATTTCCCAATAACGAAAAAAGTCCTGGATCTGATGTCTTCACTGTTTAATTCTGCCAAACATTTAAAAGAGAAGTAATACCAATTCTTCTTAAAGTGTTACAAAAATTGAAGAGAAAGGCAGTCTTCTGAATTTATTCTATGATACCAGTGTAATAATGACACCAAAGCTAGAATAAGACATTACAAGTAACCAAGCTACAGAACAGTATTCCTTATAAATACTGATGTAAACATCCTCAATGTAATACTAGCAAACAATTCATCAGCATATAGAAAGGATTAAAAAGCATGACCAAGCAAAAATTATTCCTGGAATGCTAGGATGGTTCAACATGAAGATCAATCAATATAATATATCACATCAGCAGAAGGAAGGAAAAAACCCACATGATCATCTCAAGTGATGAAGAAGAAGCATTTGACAAAATTCTACATTTTTCATGATAAAAAATATTAAACAATCTAGGAACAGATGGAAACTCCTTCAGGGTAATAAATACCATATATGAGAAACACACAGCACAATATCATACTCAGTGGTGAGAAACTGAAAATTTTTCCTCTAAGATGAACAAAGGCAAAGATGTATACTTTTACCATATCGATTCAAAATAGTACTGAAAGTTCTAGGCAGAGAAATTAAGCAACAAAAAGAAATAAAAGGCATCCAAACTGGAAAGAAAAAAGCTCAGCTTATCACTGCTTGCATGTAGCATGATTTTATATGTATAAATCTCTAAAGATTCCACACATACACAAAAATATTACAACTATTAAATGATTACAGAAAAATGTGATTAAAGTTAATATTAAGAAAACCTGTTGCATTTCCAGTGTATTACATTTCAATTCTAAAATCATATTTTAAAATAAATGCCCAGTATCTCCAATATGTAATATTAAAGGAGCCCTGTAGGAAAAAAAAAGCTATTATTAAATGCTCAGTATCTCTTTTTGAGATGTTTCACTCCTTTGCAGCAGCTCAAAATTAAGGTTTTCCCATTAAGAGATTATGATCAATATTATCATCCAGGCTAAGCAGATCAATTTGTGTCCTTAAATGACCCCATGGACTGTACCCTACCAGGCTCCTCCCTCCATGGGCTTCTCCAGGCAAGAATACTGGAGTGGGTTGCCATTTCCTTCTCCAAGCGATCTTCCCGACTCAGGGATCAAACCCGGGTCTTTTGCACTGCAGGCAGACATTTTAACCTCTGAGCCAGCAGGGAAGCCCCTTAAAACTACAGATTATCTCAAAATAAGAGTATGTCTGGTGGACAGTTCTCTTCCTATTTCCATAAGCCCTATTTCAACTCTAAGAACTGACAATTTAAAATTATTGTCAAGAATAAAGTTACCATGATTACTACATTTTTAATTTATACAATAGGTTTATTATTACATATAGTAAGTTACATGGGCTTCCCAGGTGATGCTAGTTAAAGTATCCCCCTGTCAATGCAGGAGACACAAAAGACGCAGGTTCGACCCCTGCATTGGGAAGATCCGCTGGAGTAGGAAGTGACAACCCACCCAGGTATTCTTGCCTGGAAAACTCCATGGACAGAGGAGCCTGGCAGGACCCTGGCAGCCCATGGGGTTTCAGAGAGTTGGACATGACTGAGCGACTGAACACACACATAGTAAGTTATACAGTTTTGCTTTACTTCAATTTAAGCTTCTTTCTAATTACACATTTTTCAGGTCTTCATAAATAGTGCAGTAACTGTTGGACTACAAGTACAAATTGTCACATAGAAAACAAAATGAAACCTAGTTTATAGAAATGTTTAAAAAGAGGAGCAAAACAAAAATGGAATTAGTAATACTGAAGCTTCTTTTCTGTAATGAGCATCTTACTTACCCCGGATTACAAGCAAAGTGAACCTGTGAACCAAACAGAGCACTTCCATTCACGAAGTTGACTTGGCCATTCACAGGATCTCCTACATTAGGACATGATTTTTCTAAAAGGAAATGTTCAAATATGTTGGTTTATACTAATTTCAAAAATAGGTTTAAATCAAATTCAAAAGTCTACTTTGCTTGTTTGAATTCATTGGAATCTTATTATTCATTTAACTATTATTTTCTTTCCATATTATATGGCCAAAAAAAGAGTCATATTTACCCAGGTAAACAATTGCCAAGAAAAAGATTCCCTGGGGATTTTTCAAAGCCTGAACAAATGCACAGATATCTAAAAACTTATATTCACATGATAAAATCATCACTGAAGTAGTGGAATAGGCACACTAAGATGTGTGTAAATATCCAGTACTATAAAACATTTTTGTTTGTTTATTTACCTACACAGGCATCCTGGAGAGATGACCACGTATTATTATCTTGACAAACAGCAGATCTCGGGAGACTAGGAACCTTGGGCTTGAAACCTAGACGACACTCATATTGTACACATTCCCCAGGACGATAATTGGGTTTAGGTGCACCCTGGAGCCTCATAGTGTCAAATCTTGGTGGATCACCACAAGCCTCTAGGAATAGAGAGAATAAGAACATGTAAGTGAAGTACTTTATCTCTTTCATCAGCCAGGGACTGCGGCCTGGCCTCAGGTAGGTACTACAGAATAAGTAGAAAGATTCAATGACTGTCTCATGCTTTCCCAGGTGGCTAAGTGGTAAAGAATTGCCTGAGGATGCAGGAGAAGCAGGAGATCTGGGTCCGATCCCTCAGTTAGGAAGATCCCCTGGAAGGGGAAATGACAATCCACTCCAGTATACTTGCCTGAAAAAATCCCATGGACAGGGGAGCCTGGCAGGCTATAGTCCATGGGGTCGAAAAGAACTGGACACAATTGAGCACGCATACACGCCCATGCTTTTACCCATGTGGCAATAGTAGCAAAGGATGTGCCCTGCTTACTTGAAATAACCATCTATGAGCTTTTTTGGTTTGTTGAGGAATAAGGTGAACTTTCATTCAACACAATTGAAAAGACAGCATCTATGTTTTGGGTTTTAAAATGTACTTATAGGTATGTGTCCTTCCCTCCTCTTTCTAAATTCATCATTTCAAAACTCACATCTTCCTAAGAAGTCTTGTATAGTATATAGCACTCTGACCAGATTACTCTTCCATAGTTTAGACTCAGTGTCCTCTCAGAAGGCAATGTCCTAGAGCGCAGAGATCATATGCCTTCTTTCTGTACTACACTCTGTACATACTGGGTAAGAGTAATATCAAATAAACATTGTGAATTTCATAGGTCAAAATAAATATGGACTAAAGTATTTAAAAATATAACTTCCTTCTATTTGCTTTGTATCAGTGAATTGTTGTGGCTGTTGTTCAGTTGCTCACGTCCAACTCTTTGCTACCCCATGGACTGAAGCACGCTGGCTTCCCTGTCCTCCACCATATCCCAGAGCTTGCTCAAACTGATGTCCATTGAGCTGATAATGCCATCCAACCATCTCATCCTCTGTCATCCCCTTCACTTCCTGCCTTCAGTCTTTCCCAGCATCATTTCTAATGAGTCATTCTTTGCACCAGGTAGCCAAAATATTGGAGCTTCAACGTCAGCATCAGTCCTTCCAATGAATATTCGGGACTGATTTCCTTTAGGACTGACTAGTTTGATCTCCTGGCAGTCCAAGGGACTCTAAAGAGTTTTCTCCAACACCATAGTTCAAAAGCATCAATTCTTTGGTGCTCAGCTTTCTTTATAGTCCAACTCTCACATCCATACATGACTACTGGAAAAACTGTAGCTTTGACTATATGGACCTTTGTCAGCAAAGTAATGTCTCTGCTTTTTAATACGCTGTCTAGGTTAGTGAACTGAACATTTTATAAATAAATGGATACCCTTTAAATAATCAAATTTTATTACTTTGAATAACCTTACATAAAAAATTGGTTTCTTGGACGTTACTGTAAACATAATTTAATCTTCATTCACTGATTAATGGATTGTACATGCCCTTGAAAGCTTCCTGCAGTAACTGTTTGGGCTGTTTATCCAATGTATCCTGACAATAAACTCTATTGCTATTATTTTAGAATTTTTATCTCTGGCCTTTTTTGTCGGGGGGTCTTCCCTAGAACAGTGTTACTCCTGCTTCAAGAAGTCCTCTTCCTTTTAATTATCTGTGCTCTTGGAAATCTTATGAATCTGCTAGAAATGATGTAAAATATTATGATATTTAAAGTCCTAAAGTGCTAAAAGAATGCAGAGGCCTCTCCTATAAGATTAAGGACCTAAAGGAGAAGGGAGATAAATCTATTTTGATCCCTACGGAAACTTTGCTGTAATTACTTCTTGGATCTAGGTCTTCAGATTGACAAACTAGTCAAGAGAGAACTCTAAACAAGTGAAATATTATTCTCCTTTTTCACCATTTTCTAAATTTCAGATTCCTCTCTTGATACCCTGTCCGACATTTAATTTACACCATGTGCTGAAATCCACCTATTGGCAAAATGTTTTCAACATTTCCAGTATTTTGATCTTAACATATGAATGCATCTCCATCAACTGCCCAAAACAAAAGCAAAAAACAAACAAAAAAAAGGATGCAGTTATTAAAAACACTGTTTAATGATCAGTATAGAGTTGGATTTTACTAATAACATTAAATTTACTCAATTTGAGCTATAGGTTCTCATTTTACAATAGGGGAAAAAATGGACTAGAAATGCTGTACAATTCCATCCTAGATAGAAATGTATAACGTCATTCAGAGTTTCCTGGAACCAAGAAAGAAATCAAGTTAATAGCATGCCCATAATTAAATTATACAAGTGTTGTTTGTTTTATGTATTTGCTTTGCTTTATGTATCTGAATAATTTCTTCTCTTATTCAGAATGTTGGATTCTTTATTCCTGTGAGGATTTTCAAAGTAAACATATCTTGACTAAGATTTTTTTCCAGATGGTTTACAGTACAATTATTATTGGCCTGCAATGCTATACTTTTACAAGAAGCATTATATAGTATGCCATTATAGAATATGGTAGATTGCATTCAGAAAATTCCCAAATTTTCAATTTTCCAGATGAGTTTAAAGAAGATGAAACAGTCTCTATACATATCAAGAGAACTGTTCACCTTCTGTATACTTGCAAAAGTTGGGCAAGCACTCTCTACCTGCTCACAAAATTTAAAAATAACTGTCATACTCAAGCACAAACCCAGATCCGTGCCCAGATGGTAACTTCAGGATAATTATGGTCTCTGATCAAAGTGGGACCTCAATGAAACCTGACCATCCTGCCCCTTCTCTCACTGTCCACAAAAACTACTTTTTAAAAGGAATATCAAAATAAATTTCACTGAAACTTAAGTCCATGTTTGTATAAATTAACATTCTAAAAGGCTGATATAATGCTCGTAAGCAAGAACATCTAAATCCTACAACACTGCACTTTTTTTTTTAAATCAAACTTGAAAAAAGTGCCACATAAAGAAGATTCTAGTTGGTGAGGAAGATGAAGCTGGATTGCAGACACATCATCAATTGTAAAGGAAAGGTACTGAATGCCAAGCCATATCTTGTCTTCAGAAATCTAAGTTGGGCTGTCTGAACACCTCTGCTGTGATGGTCTGCCTACTGTGTGAATGACTATAGGAATGGCGGGCTCCTGGTCTGGATGACTGACTGCCAGGCTCTGTTCTGTGTTGAGGCTGCTAGTCACTGGTGTATAGGTCTGGATCCTAGTGTGATTGGCTGCAAGGTCAGGGGAATCCCAGTCCTGGAGCCAGCCCTTTGATAGGTAGGACCAGGTCACAAAGTGGATGGATGTGTGTGTGTATGTGTGTGTGTGTTTTGGGGGGGATAGAACCTGGTCTCAGGGTGGCAGCTGCAGGGTCAGGGGCCCCAGAACTGCTGGTGGCTGGGGTCACAGCACAGGTGGGTTCCATAGCTGGTTTTGACCAGTTGATGGCTAGGGTCAGATCCCGACATGGCTGGCTGAGGGGCGCAAGGCATCTTGGAGGTTGTGTCAGTTTGCTGGTGGGCTGGGGCCCTGTGGGTCTTGACATTAGTGCTGGTGAGCAGCACCAGGCTCAAGGTGGGCAGGACCAGGTCCCAGGGACACTGCTTTCAGGGACAGGGTCCTGGAGTTGGTGTTAACACAGAGTGGATGGGCTGAGGCTCAGGGCTCTTGGGGCTGGTGTCCATCTTTTCACGGATTAGGTCAGCTCAGGGATCCATGCTGACCTCCTGGCAGACAAGACCCTGTTCTACACCTGGTTTTGGGGTGCCAGGGATCCAAGGGTTAATGTGGGCCCACTCTTGGGTACGGCTTTGTCTTCAGCCTTTTAGTGGGCAAGACTGGGTCTTGGGGTGGCTGGGGGCTCTGGGTTACCTATGACAGTCAGTTTGATGATACATGCATGCATGCTAGGCCGGTTCAGTCATGTCCAAGTCTTTACGATGCTATGGACTGTAGCCTGCCAGGCTCCTCTGTCCATGGGATTCTCCAGGCAAGAATATTGGAGTGGGTTGCCATGCCTTTCTCCAGGAGATCTTCCCCACTCAGGGACAGACTGGCGTCTCCTGTATGGCAGGCAGATTCTTTACCACTGAGCCAGCTGGAGAGCCCAGCGCTGCCTCTGGTAATCAAGGCAAGTGAGCACTTTTGGCCCTCCACTGCCTCCGTCAGGGTTATGTGCCTAGTGGCCACCTTATCACTTCTTACGCCTCTGTGCTCACTGGTGCCTGTGTCAACGGTGTGAGCGCCCGGGGCACAAGGCTGGTGACTTCCTATGCTGCCTCCTGGATTCTGAGCCACAGCCTCCATCACCAGGCGGGGCTGGGAACGTGGGGGTGTAGGCAGAGTACACAGCGACTTCTCCCGCCTGACCGTTACGTACACCACACGAGCTTCCCAACTTGGCACCGCTGGGTGGCCACTTCTACAAAAATCACACTAAGAGAACATCCTGCAGGGCCTCCGCCAGCCCAGCAGGATACCAATACTCCACTCCCGTTATAAACCTGCCCAGAGTACAGAGGGCAAAGCTCCCCGCCCACCCTCTCCCATCCCTCCACCTAAACACAGGCACAGAACCAGCCTACCAATATTCCCCAGGCACCTGAGAACTCAAAAGCAAGCCGCCGCCACCACCAACAGGCCAGCGGACCCGTCCCCAAGTGGCTCAGTCCCACAAACCCTGCAAGCTTTTGCTAGTGACCCAGTTTGCCCCTTGGTAAGTCCGGCTGCGCGCATCACCCCGCGCCGCTGAGTGCGCACCAACAAGCAAGACGTCTCTTCTAGCGCTATGTGGTCCCCTCTGGTCACGCTTTCTACCCCAACTCCTTATGACCGCGGAGTGGACCCAGCCCCACGACTCTCACGAGAGACAAAAAGCAAATCTCCTCCCACCCTCGGTTCCAGTCGGCCGGCCTCGCGAGCCGCTCCGGCTCCGCACCAGCGCGCACACTCTGCAGGCTCCTACCAGAGACTGTGGGCAGCAGGAGCACGAGGACCACCAAAAGCATCCCTACGAGGCACCAGAAAAGGGGGACTCTCGGGGCGACCAGGAGGGGCTTGTGCGATACGAAAGCCTCTGTCACTTTCGGGGAGACCGGCGGGAAAGCTGAGCCCAGCCCGGCTCTGAGCTCGGTTGCCAGACGCAACAATCCCCAGACTCACAAGGTGTCCGGAGCAGTAACGCGGAGGGCGTGGCTGGGCCGTGCCGGGGGCGGGGTGAGGGTCTAGCGGGGCCAATGGGTGGGCTGCAAGGCGGGGCCTCGGCGCTGGGGGCGGTCCCCGCGCCCGGAGGGGCGGTCCGTGTGCCCAGAGGGGCGGCCCCTGCGCCTGGAGGAGCGGTCCCCGCGTCCGGAGGGGAGGTTCCAGCGCCCGGAGGGGCGGTCCCCGTGCCCGAGGGGCGGTCCGTGTGCCCTGAGGGGCAGTCCCTACTCCGGAGGGGCGGTCCGTGTGCCTGGAGGGGAGGCCCCCGCACCCGGAGGGACGGTCCGTGTGCCCGGAAGGGCGGTCCGTGAGCCTGGAGGGGAGGGGCGCGGCGCTGGAGGGGCGGTACCCGTGCCTGGAGTAGTGGGGCGCGGCGCTGCAGAGGGTTCCCCGTGGGCGCACAGACATCGGTGCGCCTCCGCCGACACATGGGGTGTCTCTGGTTCCTCTGCCTGCAGACCTGAAGGAGAGCCTCGGCGACTCAACGGGAATATTTGGCTCACCGCCTCTTGGTGAACAGACTGTTATCACCCTACGCAGGGAGGTTGGAAAGGAATCAAGGGCTGGCGCAGTCATCATTGTCCCTTTTCTGGAAGTCTGGATTAAAGAATCAAGTGCATCGACCTGAGGATAAAAACCTAAGCCCAGGCAGCGGGTCACGGTCGGCCAGACACCCCTCAGGACTGCAGTCTGGACCTGGGGCATTCCAGACTGTCCGGACACCTGGGTCCTTTGTTCAGTCTTTGGCATTAGTTGGGATTAAAAGACGCTTACTCCTTGGAAGGAAAGTTATGACCAACCTAGATAGCATATTAAAAAGCAGAGACAAAAAAAAAAAAAAAAAAAGCAGAGACATTACTTTGCCAACAAAGGTCCGTCTGGTCAAGGCTATGGTTTTTCCAGTGGTCATGTATGGATGTGAGAGTTGGACTGTGAAGAAAGCTGAGCGCCGAAGAATTGATACTTTTTGAACTGTGGTGTTGGAGAAGACTCTTTAGAGTCCCTTGGACTGCAAGGAGATCCAACCAGTCCATCCTAAAGGAGATCAGTCCTGGGTGTTCACTGGAAGGACTGATGCTGAAGCTGAAACTCCAATACTTTGGCCACCTGATGCGAAGAGCTGACTCATTGGAAAAGACCCTGCTGCTGGGAGGGATTGGGAGCAGGAGGAGAAGGGGAAGACAGAGGATGAGATGGCTGAATGGCATCACCGACTTGATGGACATGAGTTTGGGTAAACCCTGGGAGTTGGTGATGGACAGGGAGGCCTGGCGTGCTGCAATTCATGGGGTTGCAAAGAGTTGGACGGGACTGAGCGACTAAACTGAACTGAACTGAGGGATATTTCAGGAAACTATTATAGTTGTGGTTGAGCATCTACTACTGAAACCTCTTGTGGCCTGATAGATTTCAGAATCAGAAAAGATTTGCCCATTTGCTAGGATCAGTCTGTCTCTCACATATTTCCGAGAGAGTGCCCCGGGAAGGTAAATTATTAAATCACATGGGCCGTTAGCATAATGGGTTTCAACTCTCAGGAACCCTTGTCATTGAACGACTAAATGTTTTATTAAAGATGAAATACACTTTTATTGAAAAGGTGAGGACAAGGATGCATTAAGTGCAAAATTCTTAGAAGCAATGAATGTCATTAGAGTTGGGAGGGGTAGAAATTGGTTAGGTGAAGTGGCAAGAGGGAGAACTTTTCTGTTGAAACAGTCTTGCAAACGACGCTGCAAAATCAAGAGTGAGCACAATTTATTTGTAAAGTTATAAGTAAACCTGTATGCTTGGTAGAGGAAAGACAAAAGTAACATGACTGGCAGCAAAGAGCAAACAAAAAGAGTTGACATTTTCTTCTTCTTAGTTGAGAAAAACTAAAAAGGGTAACCAATGTGAGTAAGCATATTGGGAGACAAGTACTCTCAAATTTTTATATTTAATATAACATTTTATATGCCACAAGTTTTAAAATGGACATGACTTCTTAACAATTTAGCAGTCCCATTTAGAGTTTATCCCAAAGAATCATCTGTGAGCAAAGCTTCATAGTTTTGGGGGGAAAATTTAAGCCTTTAGTACTTAGCAGAAGTCTTAAGGATTCTATGATAGGTAATTTAAAGGGTGGAATTCTGTGCAGCAGCTTAAAAAATATCAATGTGGGAAACTATGATATGCTTTAAGTGGACAAAACAGACTCCAAACCACTTCATAACTTTTTGTCATTCCTTATATTAAAACAAAAGTAGTACTTGATACACATAAAGAGATTAGCTGGAAATATTCCAAAATTAAGTAATAGTTGATAGGATTATGGATATTTCATTTTCCTTGTGCTTTTCAGCTTTCTAAATTGACCCTATGTTACCAGGCAAAGAAAAAAATTTACATGCAACCTGCATTTCAAATGTTACTTTGTTCATAGAATGGCTGCGACAGAGCCTGTATCACACAGAGTAAAGGTGTGAGAGAGTGGCGAGGAAATGAAAATTCTCCTTGTAAAAGTCAAATGTATAAGCTGGAATCACAATACTTTATAAAGATTTAAGCAATTTTATATCTGAAATATGCTAAAGATATTCTGGGATACACAAACCATGGAACTTCTTCCTCTCAGACCAACACGATTTTTTGAATTCTTGGAAGAGCATATAAAACCCAAAGTGTAGGTGTGATGTATAAAAGAAATACTTTAGTGTCTTGGGTTATAAAATCCAGATATTCCATCCATGATAATACAATTAAAGGAGTTATAATTAAGACAATGAAAGGAAACACAATGAGAGAGAACTGAAATTTCTTTTAATTCTTGTATTTGTGAAAGAGTGATGTAACAGAAATAATCTGTGGTTTATTGTTGGCAATTATTTGTGAAAAGAGAATCCATTTAATTATATTTCAATAAAACTGAGAAAAAGTTTCCTGTGTAGTTTTAGGTCTGTAAGTAAGTTGTGTGTGTTTCCTCATCAGATTTTTAAAAGGTAGGAAAGAGATAAGGCTATTTTTTGGTTTCCTAGTTTCAGTTGGTATATCAGATTTAAAGGTTGGGCTTCATCAGCAGATGAATGGATAAGGAAGCTGTGGTACATATACACCATGGAATATTACTCAGCCATTAAAAAGAATTCATTTGAATCAGTTCTAATGAGATGGATGAAACTGGAGCCCATTATACAGAGTGAAGTAAGCCAGAAAGATAAAGGACATTACAGCATACTAACACATATATATGGAATTTAGAAAGATGGTAATGATAACCCTATATGCAAAACAGAAAAAGAGACACAGATGTACAGAACAGACTTTTGGACTCTGTGGGAGAAGGTGAGGGTGGGATGTTTTGAAAGAACAGCATGTATATTATCTATAGTGAAACAGATTACCAGCCCAGGAGGGATCCATGAGACAAGTGCTCGGGCCTGGTGCACTGGGAAGACCCAGAGGAATCGGGTGGAGAGGGAGGTGGGAGAGGGGATCGGGATGGGGAATACATATAACTCCATGGCTGATTCATGTCAATGTATGACAAAACCCACCGAAATGTTGTGAAGTAATTAGCCTCCAACTAATAAAAATAAATGAAAAAAAAAGAAAAAGAAAAAGGTTGGGCTCTACTGAAATGTTCTTATGATCTCTAAAATTTCTACACCTGGGATTCATGAAATTATTCTAAATTAAAGACTTTCACATGGATTTCTTCAGCTTATTTTGATTTGACAAAAAGGAGGTTCCATTTGCAAGGTTTTGAACCTTGTTCTCTACTTTTCTGTACAAGTTCCGTGGGGCAGAGATTGTTTTCTTGCTGTATCTCCAATACTGAGACAGTTCTAGACCTATATTAGGTGCATAAGAAATACCCATTAAATACTGAATAAAATAAATGGGTGTTGCTGTCACATGCACTTAACATGTCTCTGCTATTCCTCCCCCATGTGGATTTACCAAATCTTGGGAAAGTTATGAGAGATTTTAATAATGTTAGGTCCTGGGAACAAAGCAGGATTTGCCTCTGAAAAGAATGACCTACAAGTGTCTGCACAGAAAGCTTTCCTAAATCAGGCAGACAAGCTGAGCTGTGAAGTGGATCTGTTCACTGTTTAACCCTTAGCCTTGAGATCATTTTAGTGACTGAGTTCCAAGGTGGGGGAGGGGTATTGACTATGAACTTTCTAAGGTCCTGAGAGGAATAAAACTTAAGAGTCAAGGCTTTGAGTGAAGTAGGGGCTTAAACACTAGTGCTTCCTCCAACTCCCCCTAAAGATTTTGTTAAAGTGCCAATGAGAAAATGAGGAGAGAACGGAGAGTATAGGCTTTGAGCTCTGTAGCAGCTCTCCTGCAAACTTTAGGAATGATGGTAGGGTAGAGAGAGGTGTCTGGGGATGTCATTAAATGAAAAGTTGCAGCGACTTCCCTGGAGGTCCCATGGTTAAGACTCTGTGCTTCCACTTCAGGGGGCATGGGTTCAATCCCTGGCCAGGGAACTAACTAGGCTCTTGTATGCCACAAAGTGCAACCAAAGAATAAAAGTAAATGAACTGGGGGACTTTGTTAAATGAAACAATGTTAGATGATCCTTTGCCTCCTCAATGGGTATATTTACATTCTGCTTTTCAGAAGCGGGCCCAGCAGCATGAAGGGACCTGTGCATGCTCTCAGAAGGGGCTTGCCCCTCTCTACAGCTTAGGTGTTTGTGAAAACCTGAACGAGAATGGCTTAACGGAGGATAGTTAAGCCGCCTTTCTGATGTTGGTCCTGGGAGCCCCGCCACCTTCGCTTGCACCTGGCAGGCGCCTGCCAGACCTCAGGA